ACAGTTTGAGCGCCAATGTATTGCATCATAGCTGCAAAAATTGCACCAAAAGCAACCCTACTGGCATACCTACCATCCCTCTCAAACTCCTAGTTTTTCGTATTGCAAAGTGTATTTTTCAAATTAATGTAAAAACTGCTAATGATATATGGGAATATACTATGTCGTTCACATGTTAGCTATATATAGTAACGGACTAACGGGTTGTGGAAATGGTCTTAACGGACTAGAATGGAAAGCTTTGGCACCGCTTCTTGCATCTTTGGGTATAAAATCTCAGAGTCAAATATGAACATTTGAAATTTCGGAAACACGGAGCAGCAAGAGAGAAGACTCATTCAACTATGCTGTGCCGTATACTACATAAGTCATAAACCAATAAAGGTTGACGCAATATTCCAGTTTCCATGCATTTTCGTATGACATCAATATTACAATTTTCCATGGACCAACAAAGGTACTTCGACAAAGTTGCTTGCTAGATAAATAAGAGAAGTGTTGGGATGCATTTTGAGACTTTAAAATCTTGGCTTTTCTGAAATTAATTTCTTTATATTTTTCTTTTATTGTTTTGTGGGAAGGCATAATGTTGAAAGCAATTAAAGAAAAACAACTATTATATTCAGGGTTGGCCTTAGGCCAAAGCCAACTAGACAATGGCCTTAGATCTCAAAACTTGAAGTCTCGGCAAAAAAGAAAAAAAGCCAACATAGTAGCTAGGCCCAATTAAGACCTAGTTTGATGGGGATTAAAATTAGTTTTTTAGTAAATTTTAATAGAAATTGATATAATATATGGTTGAAAAATTGTGGAATCCATAAAATATGTGGTTCAAATGAATTATGACTTTGACTTATAATTAAAATCTAGATTTTTTAATCGGTATCAAACATGGGCTAAANTAAAATCTAGATTTTTTAATCGGTATCAAACATGGGCTAAATCACTAATTCTAAAAAAATGGATTGATTCTTAAAATATATTTAACTATTGTAAATTATATGTTTATTTGTAAATAATAATTATACTCATGCAGCCTTAGTTATTTTGACTGTTGTATTCCTTGCAATTCTAATTCCTCAAGAGTGGTGGCAGCAATTTGGATGGCACCGATGGTGGCAGAGCACGGTGGGATGAGATAAAGAGTAACCGTGACTAGTTAATTGGGTAGTTTGTTACTAACAAATAAGTTTTGACCTATAAAATGTGCGATTTGTGACTAAAATACATTATTGTAACCCATAAATTATGTCTTTGTGCCTTGTGTGATTTGTAACTAATATATGACTGTAACCATAAATTGTATGTTATTATAGTTAGAACATGTCAAATTTCAGAATTTTTTTAATTTTATTTATAAATTAATTAATTAAACATATTAAGGTCACAATTTCATATAATTTGGTCACAAATTCCATATAATTGGTCACAAATCACAATTTTCATATATCACAGATTATTTTATGGTCACAATTCAAAAAATTTATAGGTCACAATTTGTTTATCGGTCATAAATCGAAAATTTTATATGTTACAATTTATTCATCGATCACAAATTTATCAAATTAATAAGTCACATATTATTCATTAGTCACAAATCATAAATTTTATACGTCACAAATTATTTTAATGTTACAATTCAAAAAATTTATAAATCACAATTTGTTCATCGATCACAAATAAAAAAATTATGCGTCACAAATCACAAATATTATAAGTCACAACTTATTAGATAATCACAAATTATCAAATTATCGGTAACAAATTAATAATTTTTTAGGTCACACATTATTTTTTGGTTATAATTTATATTTTTCATTAATCGAATGTTGTTTATCGGTCACAAAATAATCAATTTATTGGTCACAAACATTCAAATAATCGGTGACCACCATAAACAGTTGTGACTAAAACATCACCACTGCCACCAACAGAATGGCAACTGAAATCCCGTTGTCGGAACCACCAACACCACCTCCCGACAACAAATCATCGTCTAAAAATAACGATATCACCACAACCACCACCATACACCCACAACCACCGCACCACCATCACTAAAAGTAAAACCACAGAACTTCCATCACCACCCCCATCCTACAACCCAAAAAAATTCTCAACCCTACCATCATCATTGTCGCCACCACCATCTCCATCACAGCCGCTACCACAACTACCATCTCCTCTATCTTCATCTCAACCACACCGGAACCACCAACCCACCTAAAAAAATCCCCAAATCATCACCGCCACCACAGCAACCACGATGCCGCACCACAACCATGACCACCACCAACACACTACCACCGCTAACATCACCACTGCCACCACCAACAGCCAAAATCAGCACCACCACAACCACCACCAACAACCGTAAACACAACAAAAAAATCCATAGATAAACACCATTTACACAGCAACACATCGCACCCAACCACCACCTCACCACAGATCCACCGCCACGCCCACACCACCACCACCAACACCATTTACACAACCACACGTCGTGGCAGAAAGAAAATGGAGAAGGGGAGGAGAGAGAGAGAGCAGCGACAACACAGGTGCACCGCGCGAGGTACTGGTTGGTCGCGCGGAGCAGGAACGGGCTTTCTTTTACCTGTTGATGTCAAAGCCGTCGGCGGGAGGATGGCAGAGGGTGAGGGTGAGGGTGAGGGAAGGAATATTGGGTAATGATTTGGGATTTTAGGGTTTGGGTAATATAAAAGATTTGAATTAATGTATGATTTTTGTATAAATAAATTTTATATCTGATTTTTGAAATTGAATTTTTAAAATTCTGATTTTGTGTAATTTCATCATCTTTTATTCCATTATTAAGTGAGCGAACTTGATATGGGTCGAAGTTGCCCTAATTAGGTCTGGAAGTTGGATCGGCCAGTTATATTTCAATATTCAAAATTATTATTACAATTCGAACATTTCGTAAATTTAATCATTCTAGTCCACCTAATTATTAATATCAAATTCGAACGGGAATACCGTTGGTTATTTTGAAATTTATTATTTTTGAAAATATATTTTGAAACTTTTGCAGTTATGTATTTTTCCCTATCCTTTATATCATGCATGATTATTTAATGAATTAGTCTACTTCCACATTCAATGTGTGCATCTTGAATGACATCCATTGGGCATAAAAATCGAGGCCATTGATTTAAATGAGTGTTGGAGAAATAAACGGCAAAATTGATTGCTACATCATGGAATGTCATCCAGGATGGATGCAAGTATAGCAAAATTGTTATTTAATTACAATAGAATGCCCACTTGCAATTTGGTTTTCTTAACCAAAATAGATATCTAGTGAGATTGAAATTTTGTGGCTAAAATGAGTGCATAACAAAACTAGGGAACTTACATTGCATCTCCCAAGTTTTTGCCTACCTATTGTGGATTTGTTTGAATGAATTATGTTACGCCTCAAAACCGATTCTCAAGAAGAAGCCCAAACAAAAGGCCTACACTCCACTTCATAAAAAATCGAATCGAAGTCATAGGTAAAGATGACGAATTGACGCCTTACCCGAAGCGCCATGTGTAAGCAGAAGCTCCATGGTCGAAGCGAGATGTCACCTGCTGCAAAACAACAATAGAGAAGTGATCCACCGCTTAATCTGAAGTACTATATAAGTGGTTGAAGCCATGAAGCCGAAGTCTAGGCAAGTGGCTAAAGCCTTGAAGTCGAAGCACTATATAAGAAGTCATAGAAAAAGTCGAAGCTCCTTGTCTAGAAACTCTTCACACCAAAGACTTCTAATACGAAGCTCCATTTGGCTAAATTCTTCGCTTTCTTTTAGAGGATCTGTGGGCAATCTTTAGAAATGATTGATGTAACATTTATAATAATGAATGTCAGGATTGTCAGCCTAGGGTATATGGTGGCTAATCCGTTGTCAATGTATTAAATGCATAGCAGACTGAGTGATGTGAGGCTTCGACCTGGGAGATGAGGCCATGTGGTTCTTATCCAACGGCTACCACTTCAATCAGAATTCTATAAATAAGCAACTCTTGTAACATTTGAAGCTAATGCAACTCTTGTTACTAAAAACCATATTCGATCTTCTCTCTTGCATATTTCATATTTATGTG